CACAGGGCGGGCACAAAGCTTACTCAGTAAGCATCCTGCTGTCTCCCATTCATCCAAAGACCCTATGTGAGACACCACTCTGAGTTCCTGGATCTTTAACTTCTATTCAGCTTCTCGGTGCCTCCAAGCCTGAAATCTCAACCTAGAGTGAAGGAAGGGGCATGTGTGGGCTGCAAGATGCCTCTGTAAATCAGTCCTCAACTGCCAATCAGATCCCCAAATACTCATTACAATGTGTCTACTGTTAATCAGGATAGGTTATTGGCCTCTGTTAACTTACTAGTATGTGGGCCACATCTCACAGCCAATCACAGCAGCTCCCTCCTCCTATGTCCCCATGTCAGGGTCTCTAGGAGGTCCTGGACCTGGTTAAACCTCACTCTCTCCCTCTTCTTCCAAAATTACAGAGCCACAGATTCCTTCTTTCTAGTCCTTGCTACCATTCCATTACTGACATCTCTATTTCTTCCTGTCCTTTTCCTCCCCTCCCTCCAGCCCAAGCAGCCATATCAGAAGTGTGGATAGGTGTATGGTTGGCTGTGGGGGAGACAGACTGGCCTGGTGTGAGGAGAGGCTGAGATATGAGAGTATGACTGGGGATAGCCCAGCCATCAGCCATGTCACCTACCAGTGGCAACACCAAAGCATCACCTTCTCCTTTGCCTTCTGCTCAACCTCTGTCAGACCCCAGATGTTTCCTGCTGCACTGCTGTGTGTGTGTGTGTGTATGTGTGTGTATGTGTGTGTGTGTATGTGTGTGTATGTGTGTGTGTGTATGTGTGTGTATGTGTGTGTGTGTGTGTGTACCTGCATTGGCTTGCCACTGGCTTTCCTGCTCTGACCCACCACACTTCTCCCAGTAAGAGATGGAGGGAAGGGAGGAGCAAGGGTAGGCAAGAAACTTCCCATCTCTGTCTCCACACATTGAAAGTAGACAAGCTTAGGGGGACCCTAAATAGATACTCCCCCAAGCCTCTCTTGGGGGGATATCAAGAGAGTGAGTAGGGTACCAGGGCCTGGCCTCTGTGCATTTTGATGTTATGTGAACAGCATGCAAAGCAGATGCAAATATTCTGCAAACTAGAACATTTTTTTTCTAGTCAACAACTCTGACAGGCTCTGAAATGAGTTATAGGGGAGCCCAAGGGGAGATGTGGAGGTGAGAGTAGGCCTCATCGCTGCTTGCCAAGAGGATGCTACCTTGTTCAAGCAGAACTTGAGCACCTACTGTATACCTGACACCAGGTGGGCTCCTGAGGAATCGGGTGAAGCCTCAGGCACACAGGGAAGTAAGGGCAAAATCCATTTGCACAGGACTTTGGGGGAAGGCCTTTTGGAGACACCTTTGCATTTAACAGCATGTGAGACCAGCACCACTACAATCGCTGTGTGATTGTGGGCAAGGCACTTCACCTCTGGAAGCTACTGCTCATTAGCTCTGAGCTCCTAGAGAAACAACAGCAACTGTGTTGTCCAAGCATCTGCCTGAGGACAGGGCCTGGGTTATGTTTTTCTCTGTCCCCACAATAGCCAGGTCCTGGAGGATCACTCAGCTGATTGAATGAATGATATTGAATGCTGACTACTGCTCTGGCAGGATCGGGGCAGGCCCATCTTGAGACCACTGAGGGGCTTGGAGGGTTACTCCGAGGTGGTGAATAGGGGTCCTGGGATGAGGATGGATCCCAGCAGTTATTTTAGGGAATAATGACTGGGTGGGTCGCTCCCTAATGACCTACCTCCTCAACTGCTCTCCAAAGGTGTTGGGAGGAGATGGTGAGATGCGAGGAGGAGCTTCTGCCCTCAGCAACTGAAAACAAGGCCAGAGAGGAGGGTCTTGTAAGGCCCTTGTGGGGCTTCTGGTAGGAAGTGGCAGCTGTGTATGAGGAGGATGGGTGGGATAGCAACAGCACCCATAATAATGGCCAAAATTTACTGAGCACTTGCTCTTTTTTTTTTTTTTTTTTAATTAATCCATACCAGAGGATATTTTTCCATTGATTTTTAGAGAGCGGAAAGGAGGGGTAGAGACAGAGAGAGGAAATATTTATGTGATTAGTTGCCTTCCACACACTGAAGTTATGTGCCCTTGACCAGAATCAAACCCAGGACCCTTCAGTCCACAGGCTGATGCTCTATCCACTGAGCCAAACTGGCCAGGGCGAGCACCTACTCTTTACCAGGCTCTGTGATAAACACTTTTCAGGTCATATCATATTCAAACCTTTTAATGACAATCCTACTTGTCTTTTTTAATGTTTGAGGAAATTCATAGAGAAGCTTGCCCAAGGTCACTCATCTAATGGTACCAGGATTTGAACCCTGCCTGGCATTCTTGCTCCATACATTTACCCTTCACATCTAAGCAGCTCCTTCATGCTTCCAAAGGCCAACGTGGGTTCAAACCCTGCCTTTCTCTCCAAGCTTCTGTTGCTCTACCTCACCCCTACACCCACTTCATCTGCCTAACTATATCACTAATCCAGCAAACTCTCCTCCACCCTTTTCCCTCTAGCCCATCTTTTGCCCCTCTTCCCTGGTCTCCCTGCTTGTACCTTTGCCTTACTTTGATCTATACTGCAGCCATAGGGATCTTACAAAAATTAGTCAGACCTTGTCACTCCCAGCTTAGAACCCACTTTGCATAAACTCTGACACCTCGCCTGTTTTGCAAAGCCCTGCTATATCTGCTTCCCCTTTGGTCCATGTCCACAGTGGCTTGCTCTACACCAAGCATGTCAAACTCAAAGGCTAACATGGGCCAAATAAACAAGGTTTAAGTTTATGTGGGCCGAAAAAAACCCAAAAGCTTCATTTTCATAGAAATGTAGGTTTATTTCGATAGAGACATGCTGAATACAAAGGGCTGAAATAAATGAGTCATCGTTAACATAAAATAACAGAACATTTGAATAAAAATTAATATTTTTTCTTGAACATTAACTTACCAGACACTGAATAACTGCACAAATTAATAAGCGTAACGCAAATAAACCTATTTTTCTTGTTCTCCAAAAGTGAAATATTTCCTGTTGTGCACGCCAAACAAGTCAGTCCAAGAGTAATGATGTGGCAATCCGCTGCTAAAATATTCGCTGCTAGTATTAGTGGAGAGAAATGGTGCGCCTGCGCGCAAGGGAAACTAATGCAACATGGTTAGAGTAATCAGTCATTAGCGAATGCGTGTCAAACTCGCAGCCCACAATGAATATTTTTGGGGCCCAGCCAATACACTGGTATGTACGAAAAGTTTTAATAAAAATTTTGTAACTTAATTTTTACAATATCCTGTTATACATAATTATTGGTAATGAACTACAACATTCGCTAATGACTGATTACTGTAATTGTGTTGCATTCATTTCCCTGTGATTGCTCTACACCCTCTCCTTTAGTTGGCTGGCTGCTTCTGGCCTTTCGAGCCTTGGTTCAGATGTCACCTCCTCAGAGAGGCCCTCCCTGACTACCGTAGCTAACACCGTCCCCTCTCTGGAGTCAGTCTCACGTGACCTATTTTAATACCTTCGTGGCTCTTCAGACTCCAAAATGCTCTTGTTCAACTATTTGTTTACTTGATTATAGTCTGTCTCCCTGTAAGTCCTGGGAGGCTGGGGAGGAGACTATTTTTGTTTTCTGGTGTCTCCACGGTCTAAACTCTCAACAGTGCCTGGCACGCATTCGATACTCAAACAACATCTGAAAGAATGTGGCTGGGCGACCTAGCCCCTCTCTACCTCAGTTTCCTTTTTCTGTTGGGCTTTGCCTCCTCTCAGCCTCTCAGGGAGCGCTCTGGATGAGATCAGAGATGGCAAAAGGCGCCTTCCGGGGGAGGAGGGACGCGATGCCTGCCTGGGGATGAGGTCAGTGCGTCAGACACCACTCCGCTGTGCGGGAGGCGAGCAGAGCAGCAAAGACCCATCTTAGCTAGACCCCGGGCCCGGCATCAGATCCTAGATGGGCAGGGGAGGGCACGCAACCCCTTCCTCTGGGAAGCTCCTCCCGGCGGGGCCTCTTCTCCCCTCCCCAGGGAGGCAGGTGGAGCTGCGTCCTCATCTTTGTTCCCATCTGGAGCGCGTTTGGCGCGGGGTGGCGGGGGCGGGGCTGCGCCCCCGCGGTGCCCGGAGAGACGGGCCCGCCCGCTTATCTGATCTGCGGCTAATTGAAACTCCCTGCTCGCGAAGGTCAGCTCGGTCCCCTGACAGCTGCCGAGCCGAGCCGGGCCGGATGGAAAACCCGGGCTGTGCAGGGCCCGGCGGGGCGCGGGGGGGAGGGGTTGTGGGGGGCCGCCTCTGCGGCAAAGTAGACAAAGGCAGCCCCTCCCTCTCTGTGCACGCTGCTGGGGGTCGCCAGAGGCAGCGGCCTTCGCCCTGACCCAGCGGGGCGCTCTGGCCTGGGTCACACGGCCTACAGCTACAGGAGGGGCACCCTGAATCCCTACGCACCCGCCTACCCCGCTCCCACGCCGGGGCCCCGTCTGGGGTCTCTGGGAGAGTCACCCCCAACTTCCTGCCCCTACCCCGCCTCCACGCCCCGGCTCTGAGACTTCCTGCCTCCCCGGCTCTGGGCAGCTCAGTCTGTGGGAAGCTGGCGGAGCGGGGGCGGTCGGGTCCCCTCCCCCTACGCGCCCGACGGGGCTCTGGGGTCCGGGAGGAAGTGTGCGCGGTGGGGGGGCAAGGCCTGGTCCCTGGGCGGCCATCCGGTGGGGCAGGTGCGGCCTCAGCCCTGGGAGGGAGGGCTGGCAGGCCTGTTGCTGGCGGTGTTAGGGCGGGGAAGGAGGACGCCGCGAGCGGCCCCATTTCCGGGATTCCGGGTGCAGATGTGGCCCAGGCCCCGCGCCGCGCACGCTCCCCTCCCCTCCCCTCCCACCTGTGAGTCTAGGCTGCGGTGCTGGGGAGTTCCCAAGGTGTCACTCCCAGCCCTCAGGCTGGCCGCTCAGCAGCACCTTTTGGGCCTCGGTTTTCCCAGCCTGGGAAAATAGAACCCTAACCACAACTACCATCTTTTCGGAACCTCGTGACGAAGGTAGTTAAGCGTTTAATGTACTTTGTCTCCAGCCTCACAAGTCCATTTTGTTGACGAGCAAGCTGAGACGCAGAGAAGTTGTGACTCCCCCGAAGTCACGTAGCTAGGAAGTTACTTAGGCAGGACTTGGCCGACTCCCACCAGGGGTCTCACTGTAGCCAGAGCGCGGGAGCTGTGCGCCTATATAGGTCGGTCGCCCAGGGCATTCACAAGTGCAGGGATCCCCTAACGGCTTCTTGCCGCACGCGTCCTCGTCTTGGAGCTGCGCACGTGTTTCTTGGCGCAGTCTCTAGTGCCAGTGCCTGGGGACAGAGGCACGGCCTGGCGCACCGGTGCCCAGGTGCGCCGTTCCATTTGGGACCCGACAAAGTCATACGGCTGGAGCCGCGGGCGGAGTGCAGCGGGGGCGGGGAACGCGGAGTAGAGTCCACGCGGGCCGCGGCGCCTGGGAGGCCGCAATCCTGGCGTCTGCAGCCGACGAGGCGCGGGGTGACGCGCGGGGGCCCAGCTACCGTGACCTCCTCCGCGGTTTCCATGGAGACGGTGCACTATAAATAAAAAAAAAAAAAAAAGAGGAGGAATTTCAAACCCGTTTTCTACGGCGCTTGGCGGGAGGGGGGAGGAAAGCTCTCTTTGAATCGAGTTTCCCATTTCACCTTCCCAGGCGGTGGGAGCGCTTCCCCCGCAGCCCAGCCGGGAAATTGCCGCCCCTCACGCCGCGTGGTGCCCCCCGAGGAAGCTAATTAGAGCAGCCCAGGAAACTGGGGACTGGGGACCTGGCCCCGGGGGGCCGGGGGCGGGCTCTAGGGTGGGGGGGGACGCCTACAAATTGCCACCTCCTCCCACCCCCACTCCCACCCCCGTCTCTCCAGGCGCGCACGCAGGCCAGGGCACAGGGCGCAGGCGGGAGGTCGCATCTGCAGCTTTGGCGCAATGAATCAGGCGCGGCCGCTGTCGCCGCCACGGAGCGCGTCTGGCATCCGGAGTCTCCCGGGATCGAAAATAATTTGGGCAAAGCGGTGGGAGGTGTGTGTGCGCGCGTTCCGAGGGGAGGGCGGGGGAGCAGGCCGGGCGGGGTGCGCCGGGCGGGGGGAGGTGCCATCCGACAGCCCCGCTGTGGTGAGAACAGAGTTGACACTTCTTTCCTTTCCACTTACTGCAGCAAGTACCGCGAGGGAGCTTAACCCTCTCGCTGCTTGGAGAGGTAGAGGCACTGCCAGCGCCCTCATAAGGGCACGCCCGGTTGGGGGCCAGGTGTGTACTCTCTTTTGAGACCGGTCATTGCGGCCCGGCCGGTTCTGCTCTCTGCTTCCCAGACAGGCACGCCCACTAGGACATTCTTCAAGGCATTCTCCCCCAGGGCTTTTCTCGGTCTCTCATTTTACCTTCCCAGGCCTGGAAGTGTCAGGGCTATGGCCTCAGTTTCCCCACCAGTACAAGACTGTGTGTGTCGGGGAGGGCATTCCAGTCTGGCGACCCTAGTTTTGTGACCGTCTGGGCTTGGGTCCTGGGCAGAGGCAGGAGGGGGCGGTTAGGGCGCCGGGTGCCTGAGTCCGAGCCCCACCCGCCTTCATCTCCCGCCGCACTCTGGGCGTCCTTCATCAAAATGGCCGGGTTCCTGTTTTTGCCTCTGACGGCAGAAATGTCACCGCCGCTGCATTAAGCACGCTCGGTGGGAACTCGTTTTGGATCTAGGAGCTGGCGCTCAGCCCTGCCGAGCTGCCTGCCGCAGGGGGGTGGGGGTGGGCTGGTTGGCCAGTTGGCCTGACTCGGGTCAGCCTTTGTTCCGGTTTCCACCTTCCTGCCTCTGTAGCCGCCTCTCCGCCCCCAGGCACCCCCTCCCTCAGCTGTGCCGGTTGCTCCCACCCTACTCCAGTTTTTTTTTTTTTAGAGGGTATTTGTTCAGACTCTTGTGCCTGTCTGGCTCAGGGATGGCAGGGGGAGATGACTGGGGGACAGAACTCACTTCTTCCCCCTCCCCACCCCTATAATGGGGAACACCTCTGGAACTCAGGAATCTTGTGACCTGAAGTTCCCCCAACAAGGCCTGAGAAGGGGTGCTTTCCACGTCCCTTACCTTCCTTTCCACCAGGGGCTCCCACCACCCCAGGAATTCTTAAAACTTGGTGCACCCAAGACCACTTGGCCGGTGAGCTTGCAGATGTGGGGGAGGGAGGGGGAACAGTATGTGGAGAATCTGATTCAGTGGGTCTGGGGTGGTCCTGTCATCTGCAGGCTTCCCAAGACCTCCAGCTGGCAACAGAGCCAGGAGAGCCCACTTCTCTGAACCATGGAGCTCTGATCCCCAGCTCTGACTCGGGAGTAAGGGGGCCATGCCTCCCGGTGAGGGCTTCCTCCCCTGGAAAGGGAAAGGTAGGAGTCATTCCCTGGAGATGGTGTCATCTGTGGATCTCCCCCGTAAACCCTAGTGCTTTGGGCCTTTTTCATCCTCGGAAAGTATCACCCTGTCATTGATACTGGCCTGGTTAGTGCTTGAGAGCTTGCCCTTCCTAGACCCATGTCTAGCCACACTTCTTTGTCAAGCATCAGATCCTGTGATGGTGGGAAAGAGGCCAAGTAATTTAGCCCCTTCTCCTCCCCAAGGGGATAGTGGTGGGACAGGGAGTGTTAATGCTGGGCATTCTAGGGGCAGGAATAGGGCACCCAAATTGGAGAGGCCTTTGGGAATGTGGGATTCCACCTGTCACCTCTGGAAGGGCAGCTTGTGGGGGAGCTGAATGAGGATGTAGGATCAACATATGCCTGGAACATAGGGTTGATGTCTTCCTTTCAGGGGCTTTGAGACTACTGGTTTCTGAAGTGTCACTCAAGGATTGTGGTTGGAATGCTGGAAGACCTTCCTGAAACTGGGTCTATGCACTGGGAAGGGTCCTGGATGGTCTCTGGGCACAAGAACATTCAAGTCTGACTTGGGGAAGGGGCATGTGTCTACTTGAGGCTGGGGGATGGCTGAGATGACCTCTCAGAGCTTCTGCTTGGCTGTAGGCAGCAGAGGACACCCGCTTTGGGCCCTGTTATTCTTGCACACACTGGCCCACATATCCACTTTTTCTCAACTACACTCATCCAGACTCACACTGGCCCATCTGTTCTGATGCCCTCACATGCACATCCATGTACCCATGAATATTTGTGCACACACATGCTAAAACACCACATGTGTAACACACTGTGCACGAACACACAGGGTATGCACTGGGCACCTAGATGCACAGACCCTAACATGCTGTGCACATGGGTATACTGATGTACCAATGTACACATTAGCACCTATGTATACACACATGTGCACAGATGGGCAAACTCCTAGACATTTTCACTCCCATCAGCTAATTTGTGTGTATGTGTCCCATGAGGATAGGGCTATCTTTGTTCATTGCCAAGTACCCAGAAGAACAGAGATTTGTTCAACCTCAGGACCCACATGCTCGGTGCTTGAAAGGTATACAATTATCTGGAATAAATGAGTAAATGTATAAGGGTATACAGTAAATGTATGAGTGCATAGTAACCATATTAGTCAAAGCAACGTTTATTGAGTACCTCTGTGTGCCTAATCCTGTGGTAAGTTCTGTCATTATAGGTACCATCTCATCTAAGCCTCATGGCAACCTGTGAGGCAAGTACTATTATAATTCCTGTTTAGGCTTATGGGACTGAGGCTCTGGGAAACCGTCACTACCTGTATTAGTTTCCTAGGGCTGCCCCAACAGAGTACCACAGACTGGGTGGCTTAAACAATAGAAATGTACTGTCTCACAGTTCTGGAGACCAGAAGTCCAAAACTTGGAAGCCTTCTTTCGAAGGCTGAGGGAAGGAATTGTTCCAGTCCTCTCTCCTGGACTTGTCAATGGCCATCTTCTCTGTGCGTGTCTATGTCCAAATTTCCCCTTATAAGGACACCAGTAGTATTGGATTTGGGTCCACCCTACTGACCTTGTTTTAATGTGATTATCTCTGTAAAGGTGCTATCTCCAAAAAATCTCATATTCTGAGATATTGGGGGTTAAGAATGTCAACATATGAGTTTGGGAGGATATACAATTCAACCCATAACACCCCCAAGGTCACACATCTAGGAAGTAGGATAAACACGATTTGATCCTAGGTCTGGAATGCTGGAGTCCATAGCATCACCTTATCATATGATGGAGAGAGAGAGAAAAAGGGAGGAGGTGGGGGAGAGGAGAGGAGAGATGAATCCTAGTGGCCACTCTCTGTGACTCCTGATCTCCACCAGCAGGTGGGCATCCAGTGCCTGCTCGCATGAAGGAGTTGGCCCTTTGCAGCCTAGTCTCACTGGCATACTGATGGCTTTAATGTTCCTTCGGCCATGATATGGGCACCTAAAGCCATCCCCCAGGTCCCTGGTGACCATTGCTGCCCGACAACATTGACAGGTGTGCCTAGAGATACACACAGAGGGCCAGGGGGCTGCCTGACTCTCCCTACCAGCTGCCATCTCCAATGCTGCGGCCTCATTTCAGAGGCTGCTGGCTTTGAAGTGCTCAGCCCAGTCAGGCGGGAAGCTGGAGCCAGTGTGTGTGTTGCAGGGAGGGGGTGGGGGGGAAGCGCGAGTCACGAGGCCTCTTGCATCAGCTGGGGCAGCTAGAACCAGACAGGTCCATGCTGACCGATGTTCGCAGCCTGAACCTCTCCTTGTGCTCTTTTGAATTGTCTGGGTGTGTGTGTGTGTGGGGGGGGGGGGGGGGGCGTTGAGGGGTGGTTAAAAAGGAGGCCCATTCCCTGGGCAAATGAGGGAGACAAAACCCCCAGTCTGACGTGGTAGGCACAGTCTCAATCCTTGGGGAGCCCAGACTTGGGAGGCATGGCCTCTCCTTTCAGTCTGAAAAGTCCTAGCTTTTCTGAGCCTCACTTTGCCCATCCAGGAAGTGGGGACAACAAACTAGTTTGCTGGGAAGTTTCGGGAGTTACTATGGTAGAGAAGGACCAGGATTAACATGGTCCTTACCCCCTGCAGAGCTACAGCATTTAGACTCTAAATTTTAGAGGGTGATGATGATGGTGGTTATGGTGATGATAATGGATAATATTTACTGAGCATTTACTGGGCCTCAGGCTGAATGCTGAGTGCACTCTTTACCCAATTACCTCAATCTTACTATGAAGTCTGGGAGGCAGCTACCATTATCATTGCCATTTTATAAGTGAAATGAGGTTCAGAGAGGTGGACTTGTGCAAAGCCACACAGCTAGAGAGTGAGGCAGTGGGGCTTTGACCCTGCTCTGAAGGTTTCATAGCAGGCCCTGCGACTGTAGAGGATGGGGGTCTCAAGGTGGGAGCACAGGGGTGAGGCTGGAAATGGCCCTGGGTCTGGGGTCTCTACCCTCTAAACCAGTGGTTCTCAACCTGTGGGTTGCGACCCCTTTGGTGGTCGAACGACCCTTTCACAGGGGTCGCCTAAGACCATCCTGCATATCAGATATTTACATTACGATTCATAACAGTAGCAACATTACAGTTATGAAGTAGCAACGAAAATAACTTTATGGTTGGGTCACAACATGAGGAACTGTATTTAAAGGGCCAGAAGGTTGAGAACCACTGCTCTAAACCCTACCCTGGCCTTGATGGCAGTGGCTGAGGCGTGTCCATGGTGACGATAAAGGTGAACCCAGCACCTGCCTCCACACTTGAATTTGGTCTTCACAGCCGCCCTGTGAGGTCAGCAGAGTGGGAGTTATTCCTGTTCGACAGATGAAGATGCACTCAGTCTCCTACACAGGTTGGAAGGTGACCCAGGTCTCAAACTGCAGCCTCCTGACTCTATGTGGATATTCTTTCTGCTGGAGGCAGGTAAGTGTCTTAGGTTATTTCAGAACACCCCTGTGTGTCCACCTCTCACCGCCCTCCCTGCTCCTGGGCTGATGAACCAAATCCCAGTAGCAACGCCAATGTTAACAGTTGACATGTACTGAGCCCTCACTGTGTGAGAGATACAGTGCTTATGTGCATTTTTGCAGACTCAGAATCCTTCTCAACACAGTGCTTCAGGCAGCCCCAGCCAGTCAATGTGAGTAGGCAGAGGAATTCAGTTCAAGTAAGTCAATATGAGTGAATACCTACCATGAGGCAGGCACAGTCTCAATCTTCTGGGGACCCCAGACTTGGGGGAGGCATGGCCTCTACCTTCAGGGATTTTTCAGTCTGAAAAGTCCTAGCTTTTCTGATTGGGCTGGGCTGGGGGGATGTAGGGGAGAACAAGGGCAACATCTGGGGGCAGATGTGAGGTGATTGGGATAATGTAGGGGAATGACTAGACTGTATGGACACAGGCATGTGGCCCTAGCATCTAAATATCTAACTGAGGGGCTGGGAAAAGTTTCTTAGATGAAATAAAATTTAAGCTGAGGACTGAGAGTTCAAGATGATTTAGGCAGGCAAAGAAAAAGGGTGCTAGGCTGGGGGAACAATTTAGAACCACGGAGGCCTAAAGGTAAGGAGAATGGCCTATCTGAGGAACTTAAGGATGCTAAATGGGGCAGAGGGTGGGGTATGAGGGGGTAGAGGGGAGGGCAGGGCATTGATTCAAGGCACTTTAGCCCAAGAGGTCTGGTCTTGACCCTGCGGCCTGGAAGCCCATTGATCCGGCTTCCTGTCCCCACTTCCACGTGGTACTTCCCTATCTCCAAGACCATCAGGCTTACCCAATACCACTGGGCACTATGGGGAGCAAGGGTTGCCATGCCTCTTTACAGATGAAGAGACAGATATTGCAGGGTTGGTCTAGTCTATCTGGCTGGTAAGTGGAGCATTGGGCCTGGGCCCTAGACCTCTTCAGGTTATTTGCAGGACATAATGTGGATTCTCGAATGGTGGTATGGGGTTGTGTTGGGGTGCAGTCTGGTTTGGGGAGGCCCTGGGGAGATAGAGGGAGGGTGAGGATTCCCCTTCTCTAAAGCTCAAAGCTGGAGAGAACTGCCACTGCCTCCCTCTCGTAGTCCATCCCGAGTGGCTGACGGGAGTGAGTCAGCCTGGATGAAGTCACCCGCTTCCGCACAGCCTGTGCCCCCTGACCTGGGAGGCGCCTGCCAGGGGCACCAGCCGAGTCAGAGGACGGGCTGGGCAGCTCGCCAGGTTGCTCCATCACAGCTGATTTAGGGGGGCTGGAGGTGTCCGGAGCCATCAGAAGCAGCTGGGCGTCTGGGGCTGCAAGGCCCATAAGTCATGCGGCTGCCCGCCCTTCCCTGCAGTGCTCCCTGAGAGGTCTGTGATGAATCGCTGGGGACTGGGCTCATCAAAATCAGTTTATGCCAAAGGGAAATTAATTTCTGTCTCTCTGCGATGAGGTGTGGGGAAGGGAAGGGCAGCTCCCGAGGCAGGCCTGTGACAGCACTGCAGGGAGGGGACAGGACCGTGCAGTGTGGCCATGGTTGTCCCTGGGCTAGAGGCCCTGTCCATTCTACAGAGGAAGTGACTGAGGCTGCAAAGGAGCCTCCTAGTCTTGGGGACAAGAACCCAGACTTTGCTCTTCATTAATTCTTTCTCCCCTCCCTCTCTGTACCTCCCCTATATTTTCAGGTATTTATTAAGCACCTGCTCTGTGCCAGGCTCTGTTCGATGGAGGGGACACAGTGATGCACAAGACAAAGTCCTGCTTTTATGAAGCATAATATGTCTGGTTGGGTAAGATGGACAGACGGGTAATAGATAAATAAGAAAATAGCAGACAGGGACGAGTGCTAGGCAAGCATCAAGAGGGCGATGTGGTCAGGGAAGACCTCTCTGAAGAGGAGACAGGTAAGCTGACACTTGTTTTGAGATGACGATCACCCTTCAGTTGTGAAGGAAAATTTCTGAAAATCTAGTCCTGTTGGGGCTGGGGCTGGGGCTGGAGTAGGAGGAGAGTGCAATTCAGGGGGAAAAATCAAGCAAACTTACAAGGTGTACCGGTTAATAATGCGGATTTGTTTCAAAGATGGAGTTACACATATGTTGATATATATGCGATTTGATATGTATGCTATTTTGTTGTATTGACAACAAGCTTCAAAACTTCATATGTCAAATTTTCTGAAGGTGTTAACATCATAGATGTTTTTACACTTACTAATGTAAAAATGTCGAATTTCATGCCAAAAAAAAGAGCATTTGAGGGAAGTTTTAATTCATTACTTTATTTTGAAGAAAATGAAAGTTATTATATACTTCGGGAAGCTTATGGTGAACATGCTCCATCTCAAGATACTTGTGAACGCTGGTTTAAACGCTTTAAAAGTGATGATTTCGATGTGAAAGACAAAGAACGTCCAGGTCAACCAAAAAGGTTTGAAGACCAACAATTACAAGCATTATTGGATGAAGATGCGTGTCAAACTCAAAAACAACTTGCAGAAAGATTAAACGTTGCTCAGCAAACAATTTCTGATCGTTTACAAGCATTGGGTAGATTTTAAAGGAAGGACAATGGGTGCCACATCAACTGAACGAAAGACAAATGGAAAACCAAAAAGTCATCAGTAAAATGTTCCTTCAACAGCACGAAAGAAAGTCTTTTTTGCATTGAATTGTGACTGGCAATTAAAAGTGGATTTATTTTGAGAATCCCAAATGCACAAAATCATGGGTTGATCCAGGTCAACCATCAACATGGACTGCAAGGCCAAATCACTTCTGAAAGAAGACAATGCTCTGCGTTTGGTGGGATCAGGAAGGTGTGGTATATTATGAGCTTCTAAAACCAGGTGAAACCGTTAATAGTGATCACTACTGACAACAAATAATTTGAACCATGCTTTGATCATAAAATGGCCAAAATGGGCCAGAAGATACGGCAAAGTAATTTTGCTTCATGACGATGCACCATCACACACTTCAAAAGGGGTTAAAGACACGTTAAAAGATCTTGCCTGGGAAGTATTAACCCACCCGCTGTATTCACCTGACTTTGCTCCTTCAGATTATCACTTGTTTTGATCGATGGCACCCGCACTTTCTGAGCAGCACTTCAAAACGTATGAAGAAGTGGAAAATTGGGTCTCTGAATGGTTTGCCTCAAAACAAGAAAAGTTATATTGGGACGGTATCCACAAATTACCTGAAAGATGGGGGAAATGTGTAGCTAGTGATGGACATTACTTTGAATAAAGCACTTTAAATGTTTCTCTTGAAATTATCGTGTTTTCTTTGATTACAAAATCCACACTATTAACTGGTAAAGGCAGGGAACTCCCAGCCAAGCAGTTCCTGTGACTGCATCCACCTGTGTGGCTCAGCCTGGGGCCTGACAGTATGGACTGGGCGCTGCATCAATGGCTCTGCTTCCTGGAATGTCTCTCTTATTAGGGAGACAGTTCAGTAATTTAATACATTATTTTTTATTAGAAACAAGCATGGGTTCCCTATAGGGGAATCCACAAGACTCTTTAAAAATAAAATGAGATGTCAAAGAAACTTTGGGTGGGTCAGCTGGCCCTTTATAGCGGAGACCAAGTCTCAATGGCATTAGCAGAAAGATGGGCTGAGGGCGCAGGCGGGGAACCCTACTCTGTGTCAGGGGAGGGGCGTCCTCAGAAGGCCTCTATCCCCAAAGACCTGCAACCTTCTTCACCCAATTTCAGAGCCGGGAGACTGATTGACAGGCGTCCACTGGTTGGGTCTGAGCATCAGTTTGAAAACATTGGACAAGAACTGGAGAAACTGTCGAATAGTTTGGAAAATTGGGTGTAAGAAGAGAGAAATGAGCCAGTAAATCCCAAGAAGTCTCTATCTTTTTGGTCCATGGTGCCTGAAGATTTTAAGAGACCTTTGCCTAGAGCAGTGGTTCTCAACCTTCCTAATGCCGCGACCCTTTAATACAGTTCCTCATGTTGTGGTGACCCCCAACCATAAAATTATTTTCGTTGCTACTTCATAACTAATTTTGCTACTGTTATGAATTGTAATGTAGATATCTGATATGCAGGATGTATTTTCATTGTTTGCGACCCACAGGTTGAGAACCGCTGGCCTAGAGGGACATGGAGACCTGGGAGCAGATGGACCCAGGTATCCCTGTGGAGCTGGTAGCATCTCCTTCCCTCCCCAGTTTTCATAGCCCCATGTGCTCAGGGACTGAGGCCTTGCAGTGAGCGACAAAGTAGATGGCTGTAGCCCTGGGAGGGGAGAGAACTCACTGGGCTTTTCTGAGAAGCCCCTACCTCCTTCCCTCCTGGGAGTCCAGCCATCCTTATTGTGCTTAAAGTTATTTAGTCAACAATGTTTCTCGAGAGTCACAATGGCCAAAGTTTGTGCTAGGGGCTGGGCCCCGGGGGACCACCCAAATGTGTTCCCATGGGAACCCTCAAGGGGCTCACCATCGAGAGAGCGGAGCCAAACCAGTGGACAGCTGATTACATCTCTGGTCTGAGGGGCCAGGGAAGGCTGCCCGGAAGTGACTTGCTGGGTTCCAATGACAGTCATGTGGCGCATAATGTCATTCCACAAAATTATACTGGAGCTGAAAATTTTCTGTCGCCTAATGATGTCACTGTCATAACTTCATAGTGCAGCGCATTACTCACGTGTTTGTGGTGACACTGGTGTAAACAAACCTACTTTGGTATCAGTTGTATAAAAGTGTAGCACATGCAATTACAGTAGGAGGTTGTATTATCTAGCTTTGTGTAAGTGCTCGATGATGTTTGCACAACGACGAGATTGCCTAATGACGAAATCGCGTAACAACGCATTTCTTAAGCATCACATAATTGATGACAGCTTCACCACTTAGACCTGTGTGACTTTGGAAGAGTTTCTTAACCTTGCTGTGCTTTACTTTCCTCATCATTTTTTTTTTAAATATATTTTATTGATTTTTTTACAGAGAGGAAGGGAGAGAGATAGTCAGAAACATCAATGAGAGAGAAACATCGATCAGCTGCCCCCTGCACACCTCCCACTGGGGATGTGCCTGCAACCAAGGCACATGCCCTTGACTGGAATCAAACCCGGGACCCCTCAGCCTGCAGGCCGACGCTCTATCCACTGAGCCAAACCAGTCAGGGCATCATCATTTAAAAAAATATTTTTTTATTGATTTCAGAGAGGGAGAGAGATAGAAACATCAATGATGAGAGAGAATGGCTACCTCCTGCACGCCCCCTCCTGGGGATCGAGCCCCCAAGCCGGGCATGTGCACTTGAACAGAATTGAACCCGGGACCCTTCAGTTCACAGGCCAGTGCTCCCTCCGCTGAGCCAAAACAGCTAGGGCTACTTTCCTCATCTTTAAAGTGGGATATAATAGCACTTACGTCAAAGGGTTATTTCTAGGATAATGAGTTAATGCATGTAAATATCCCTTAGAACAGTGCCCTGCCACACAGTTCTAAGTGCCTGTCCCATAAGTACTCTATGGGACTTGGCAAGCAGATGGACGGGAAAGAGTGTCCTAGGCAGGGAGAACAAGGGCCTGGATGTGAGAAAGTCGGCTCCTCCCAGGAACTCCCTTCTGTGTCACTGAGACGGGTGGCTGTGTTGGTCTAAGATTTGGGCTGGTAACTCTACCCCCTCTCCTCCACTGACACAGTATGGTCGTGGGGCCTGAGTTGTGACTGAGTCCATGGGTCTGGCTGTGCCCACTTAACCTATTCCTTTGCCAGGACTGCCACTGCCTGTGAGCCAGACCCCGGGCTGGGTGGTGCTGGGCATTCTCTTGTGGGCATCTGGAGCTTCCTGGGGAAATTTGATGGGGAATCCCTGGGGTCAGGAGGGGTTCTTGGCATAGGTAGGTGCTCTCTGAACATTGTCTGAAAATGTCCCCAGACAAGGGAAGGGGAGGGAGCTTCAAGCAGAGGGAGCAACCTGTGCAAATGTTGGAAGGACGAGATCCAACTCAGAAACAAATAGATCTTTGGTGGAGTTTAAGCTCTGGGCCTGGGGGCCTCTTTGGTCGGTTTTATCAGGAGGTGTGGATTGTCCTCACCTTGCCTTCTTGCCCCAGCGGGGGTGATGGCCTAAGAGGTTAAAGTCCAGTCTTGCTCCAGGGCCAGCCCAGGAACTGGGGGTAGAGGCCAGTTGCCCTGGTCCCTCCCTCCCACTCCAGAGCTGGGAGGGTTTGGCAAAGCAACAGGCAGCCTTTGTGTCCTTCTGTGGGTCTAGGCACGTCTGGCCCAGCCTAGGCGGCTGCTGGTTTCAGTACCCTGTGATCCCGGCCAGGCGGTGCAGGGCGGGGCGGGCAGGGCAGGCATGGCGTCCCCAGGGTCCCCAATGTGGCTGTCTTGTGTCCCCTGCACCCCCACCAAGGCTCCCCAGGTGAGGATGCCTATGCTAGGGGATGTGTGGGGCTGGTGCTGAGGACCCGGAGCACGTAGTTGGTGGGTGGAGGTGTGCACAGAGATGGGGGGGGGGGGGGGAGCCAGCACATTCGAAGGCTCCTGTGTGCTGCAGCATGTGCCTGAGAGGTCCCCCAGGGTGAGTCTGCATTGGGGTGAGGATATGCTTTGGGGTGTGGGGGTCTGGGCTGGAGCACATGAGTAGCCCCCGGCCTGCTGAAAACAGAGCGCTGCTGTCTCTCTGCAGCGCCAACAACGAGGCCTCTCTCTCAGCACATAATGTCCCCTCTGTATTGTCTGCTGCGCAGTGGTGACGATAATTTTAAGGTCCAAATCCTTTTCGTGGGCGGTGGGGGGTAGGATGGAAGCCGTCTGGGGAGGACCAGAACTCCTGGGATAGGTTTCAGTCCCATGTGCCTGGAGGCCTGTGGTATTTTTGTCCCCCCCCCCCACACACACACACACAATCCCTGCAGGGGCAGCAGAGGAAAGTTGGGGACTCCCAGAAGCCTCTTCCAGAACTCCCACCCTGAAGTCACATGGCCCCACCCCACTCCAAGCCCCTTCCCCCTAAACCGCACGCAGATTTCAATGTCTGGGGCTGAGATCTCCTCAAAGGAACCACTTCTGGAAGCCCCTTTTGGCCTGTCTACGGATCCAGATGTTTATGTTTACCCTAAGTCTTTCATGCTGTGTAAATACCAGACCAGCAGTTATCAACCTTTTTCCCCCCTCAGGACACTGTTACAGGCTTAATAATTATTGAGGACCCCCAAAGAACGTTTTTAAAAAAATATATAACTTAAAATAAATTTTGTAATTGATTGATTTTTAGAGAGAGAGAGAGAAACATTGATTTGTTATTCTACTTAATGATGCATTCATTGGTTGATTCTTGTATGTGCCCTCAGTAGGGATGGA